GTGGGCGGGTGGAGGGAGTGCGGGTGGGCGGGTGGAGGGAGGGGAGGGGAGGGAGGGAGGGAGGGGGGGAGTGCGGGTGGGCGGGGGGGTCCTAGCCTCTGCACTCTGCGCGTGTGGGAGGTGTGCTGGTGCTTTGCACTGTGCATCATCATCACCATCACCACCATCATATCATCATCATCGTATCATCACCATCATCACCATCATCATCACCATCATCACCATCATCATCACCATCATCATCACCATCATCATCACCATCATCATCACCATCATCATCACCATCATATCACCATCATCACCATCATCACCATCATCATCATCATCATCATCATCATCACCACCATCACCATACCATCAGCACCACCAGCAGCACCACCAGCAGCAGCAGCAGCACCACCATCACCACCATCACCATCCCACCGGATGACCGGGCTCGCGTTCAGGAAATTGACTGCTGGATTCGTGAGCCCGAGGGTTTTCTGTTCCGGACCCCCCTTCCCCCCTCCTCTTACCCCTTCTCTTACCCCCTCCTCTTCACCCTCCTCTTCACCCTTCTCTTACCCCCCCTCTTCACCACTCGTTTGTGGTTCGTCTTTCCCCCCTCTTCACCCTCCTCTTACCCCTCCTCTTCCCGTGCTCCCCGCCCCTGAAACGCCCTACTCATCTCCTCTTCCTCTGTATCACGCCTGTCTTCGTCTGCCATGTACGGCAGATTGTGGTGGATGCAGCTTCTCAGAAGGTGGTGGGCATGCACATGGTTGGGGCCGAGGCGGCGGAAATTATGCAGGTGGGGCATACAGCGAGCGCGACATTCGTATAGCGCCTATTCGTATGTATGTATGTATGTATGTATGTATGTATGTATGTATGTATGTATGTATGTATGTATGTATGTATGTATGCATGTATGCATGGGAACGTTTTTTCCCGGCCCCCATATCCTTTTTTGTCCTTCGAGTTTACCTTCAAAAGTATTGCGTAATTTCCCCTCCATCGTTCTCTCCGTGTTCACGATTTCACTGGCTTCGCAATGTTGCGAAGTCGAATCGTACCTTGTACCTTGTACCTCCGGCCCCTCCGGCCCCCACACACCGTCAGCGGTCGTTTTCACTCAGTTCCGGATCACCCACGGACCCAACACTGCACTGGCCCCCTCCCGCTTCCCATGTAGGGCTTCGCTGTGGCGGTCAAGGTGGGGGTGACTAAGGCGCAACTGGACAGCGTGGTGGGAATACATCCCAGTGCAGCGGAGGAGGTGGGTGCCGTACATAGGGGGGTGGGGAAACTGCCACGGGTTCGAGCTATTCAGGGAGTGGGCGTATGGGGGCATCCGTGGTGGGTGGAGAAGGGTAGGCAGGTACAGGTGGGGGGTCCATTGGGTGTACGGCCAAGCAGGTACAGGTGGGGGGTCCATTGGGTGTACGGCCAAGCAGGTACAGGTGGGGAGTCCATTGGGTGTACGGCCAAGCAGGTACAGGTGGGGAGTCCATTGGGTGTACGGCCAAGCAGGTACAGGTGGGGAGTCCATTGGGTGTACGGCCAAGCAGGTACAGGTGGGGAGTCCATTGGGTGTACGGCCAAGCAGGTACAGGTGGGGGGTCCATTGGGTGTACGGCCAAGCAGGTACAGGTGGGGAGTCCATTGGGTGTACGACCAAGCAGGTACAGGTGGGGGGTCCATTGGGTGTACGGCCAAGCAGGTACAGGTGGGGGGTCCATTGGGTGTACGGCCAAGCAGGTACAGGTGGGGAGTCCATTGGGTGTACGACCAAGCAGGTACAGGTGGGGGGTCCATTGGGTGTACGACCAAGCAGGTACACCCTGGTGCAGACGTGTTTTTGAGCATCACGACTTTTGCGGCTGCATGGGAGTTTGAGAACTGCCTTGCGGCTCGTGGCCCTGGTCAAATCCTCCTCCGTCCCTTCCACTCCGCAGTCTATTTCCACTTCACGATTGCTGCACGCATACGAGTTCCTCCCGCTCTTCCCCGGCCTTTTCGCAGTGCTGCTTTCCCTGCAGGCCCTTCCCGTAGCCCCCTATTGGTGCACCCACACCGCTTTCAAAGGCCTGTGCTTGAAGGGAGTCTGGTCAGATCCCGTTTCTCTCTTCCCGTGTATCTTATGTATCCGTTCTCTCCGACCTCTCTTAAGCTACCTCCCTACCCCTCTGCCCCGCCCTCCTCACCCCCACCCGCTTGCGGCAGTTCGTCACCATGCGCTCCGTCAGCCGCAAAGTCCGGCGGGAGGTCCCCGCCAACCCAGTGGCACCCGCACCCGCAACTGCCGCAGCGTGAAGGGGGAGAGAGAGAGGGGGGGGGGAGGGAACCCAACCGATTCCAGCTGCCTCGACGGGAGGAAGCGCACTTCACCCCGCTGATGCGCCGACCTGCAGATCTGCAGTGTTTCACTGCTGCTCTGATTACCCTCTACTGGTCTGCCTGCCCGTGGCCCCTTACGAGGGGTGAATCGGCCTTAAGAGCGATGCAGTGCACCGGCTGGCTGGCTGGCTGGCTGCCGGCGACTTGCCATGCGGGTGTAGGTGGATGTGGTGCTGTGCTGTGAGGCTTTTCTTGGATCCTGGCGGCGGCGGCGGCGGCGGTGACTAGATGGTTCAATGGTGGCATTCCCGTCCGGTTGGTGCTCCCGGCCAGTCAGTCAGTCAGTCAGCCTGCTGCCCTCTCAGCCAACCTTAGTTGGGGCTTTTTGAGGAGGAGGAGGGAAGTGGGGTTGGGGTCCTAGGTTTGGGCTGGATGAGTCTGGAGCGGGCCCCGCCTCCGCCTGGGTGTGCCTGGGTTGCAGCATAGTGGTCCGTTGGAAGAGAGCGGTTGGGGTTCCGTAGCTCCCGTCAAGTGATGTGTCGGCATGGCCGCGGCCTGTGACATTGAGAGGCAGGAGGACAGACACACGGTCTTCATCACCTCGTTTTCCTCGTTTGGAAGTTGAAAGGAAAACTGGGTTTTATTGTGTATGTGCGCTTGGATAGTATGGTCGATTTGATTAGGCGTTACTTGCCCGGCTGGTTCGTGAGTTCGAATCCACACGTGATTCACAATTCACAAGCCGCCGCTGGGTGGTGAAGTCTGAGGGAGCGCGGCCTGGTGCGGGTTGGCGTAGATACGCCTTTCAATACAGAAGGTTTACAGCTTTTTGCTCTTTTTGCTATTTTACTGAATTTTCCTTAACTATGCAACTGTAAGTCGGAGGAATGGATGATATGGTGATGATAATGATAATGATAACGAATATGATGTAGGTGCTGCAAGGCGGAGATTTCAGCGGAGAGCTGAGCAAGGCATCTGTGTGTGTGTGTCTGTGTGTGTTTTCTTGGGCCGGCATTACTGGAGAGTAACGCCATGGCCAGGACTTATTTTTCCTATGCTATCTGTGTATACGCGTATTGCTGCGGCATGGGCATCTTTACATGTGTACCAAGTACGACAGGGATAGGCGGCAGCGGCACGTGGCAGTTTGGCCCATTGTGAGGATGTACAGCTGGCGTATCAGTTTCATCTTCCTCTGTAGTACGGTATGCGTACGGCATATCCTTGCAAATCCTCACCCTCCGACGGCTTCTCTATTCTCCGAAGTTCTCGTGGCCCCGACCGGGTGCCCGACCCAAACACAGCTGTGGATTGCGGGGGGCTATATCAACAATATCATATCAACAAACGTGGCAGAAATCTGCTGCTGCGAGGTGATGGGATCTGACATCCTCCTAATGGCTTTCGCTGAGATGGGCAGTTGACGAAAAGAGGCGCCCGAAACCCGTACAGACCTCCGTCACGAGCGCCACTAGTACTGCAGGAACTCTCTCCTCGACAAGCACGACGAAGCGGAACCGTGGAACGGACTGCCCCGGGAAAGGGGGCCGCTGGCGAAGTTAACCACCCTGTAACAACATACATAAGGCGATCTCGAAGGCTATCTGGCAGCAGAGTAACCACATGATAGATGAGGAACTCGTCAGGAGTCGTAGGCGGCAGCTCCCGACGAACATCGTGAAGATGTTGAAGAGCCTCCTCCACTGATCCCGGGCCGTACACCGTCGGCCGATACGATATGTCCCAAAAGCGAAACGGACGGTTTGAAGAACTCGCACTAGGACAGCTTACAGTAGACCTGACGCTGTTCCATACGTTCAAGCACTGCACGCAGATGCTCAACGTGTTCATCGGCGGTCTTCGAAAAGATCAGAATATCGTCCAGATACACTACCACGAACGGCAAACCCTGCAAGGCTTGATTCATGGCAGACTGAAAGACAGCAGGAGCATTAGTCAGGCCAAAAGGCATAACTTTATATACTGATAATGCCCGAAAGGAGTGCGAAACGCGGTACGCTCCACATCGCTAGGATTTAACCGTAACTGGTGATAACCCTGCGTTAAATCGAGTGAGCTGAAAACCGTCGCACCTCGCAAACGATCCAACAAATCATCTATCCGAGGCAACGGAAAGCGATTTTTGATCGTGAGGCTGTTGACTGCGCGATAGTCAACACACATACGTAAAGTGCCATCGAACAAGACAGGCGCACCAGCAAGCCTAAGCCTAGCCTTTGGTTTGGACAGTCAGTCCTAGCGGACTTTTCACTTCAGCCCGAGTCTTCACTGCGACATCCGAAGCCGTCCGAATGGGCTCCTACTGCTACATGACAAGGGCGAGCTTCGAACTGGAGAACATGTAGACCTTCATTCCATGGTGTTGTTATTTACAACGGCATTTATGCGGTCCTCAGATCCATGTACTCCATGCCGTTTTGGCCGTAGGTGTCCAATGCGCGGCCGAAAAGGCTTTGGTGTTGGCACGCAGATCTGTAGTACGCCCACAGAGGTACATTTAGCTTCCCGTCGGCGCCAAAACCGAACACTCCTTTAGCGAGTTCCCTTCGAATTACATACATACATACATACATTCTCTCAACACACTGGCGTTTACAGGGATACAGAAGCCACCAGAGCAGGATTCCTCGCCAGAAATCCATAACTCTCATGTACGTCAGGTGCGTCACCCAATCTTACATCAGCTCAACCAATTTCTCCCAGCAGCTAAGGAACCGAACTTTTGAAATGACGGGATGCTTTGCGGCGGGGGAACAAGATTAACCACCTTGGCAACCACCTTGCGCTTTTTCAGCTCCCTTACAAATACCTCGCTATTCGCAAATTGCAATACACGCCAGTCAGTGCCAGCCCGTGCGAAACGAAATGTCAGCAAAAAAAACTGCTACCGGGGAAACCTCACCACGTCGTCGTCGCACCACCACAAAACCCAAGTGAACCTTACCGGAGCGCCAAAAGACGTGTACGCCACACAAATACGAAATTAAACAGCTAATTCTCCTTTTCCCCCCACCCACACCCACCCACACCCGCATGCGCTTCCATCAGCACTGCGGCGCCTTTCCGACGACGCACCACCAGAACCAACCTCCGGTAACACCAACCGCTGTGCTTAACGCCGCCGCCGTTGTCGACAGCAGACGAAAAAATGTGGTGGTATGTGCTATGCAGACCGAAGCCGTGTTTAAAGCTAGGGAAACTGTGAATGCGCGGTGTACCGGGACGGGGGTCATTTTGGCACCCATTTTGGTGATTTAAGGACAAATGACAATAAATTAAGTTATTGTAACAATATCTGATGTCGCCAAGGAGAGCCAGCAGCACCAGCCGCAGCACCAGCCGCAGCACTAGCCGCAGCACTAGCCGATAATTAACCCGGCTGACATGATGTATACATGCACCTTGGGCGGTACAGGCAAAAGCATAATGAGAGTCGCGCACACTCACGGGAGGCAGACACTTGGATATTTAACACGCGCCACAACACCGCCTTGCCGCATTCGCGCCACATGCACACACGCACGGATCGCAGACATGTGGCAGGCAAATCCCCACACCTCCAGCCTCCGGACCGAGCTCAGTTCAGGACGAGTCGCGCGGACAAAAAACTGATGTGTCGTGAAAAGCCACAAAAAGCTAGCTACGGGTCACTACCAAGTTCATCATTTCACCCATAATGGCGATGTTCGTAAGTCGAAAAGCACGTTCCCCCTTGAGCTGCCACGTAAAGCATTAGGCGCGATTACACCAGGAAACGCAGGCATGACAACCCGAGCGATGCAATCTTTTATACCCCCCCGAATAATAAACTCTGCAAGCCTCCGAAGGCCTCTCCCCATCACGACCTAGGACATTTACTCAAAACCACAAACCAGCATCTGCCTCCATGCCAGCACACGACCGTGCGCAATTTGCTCTGCTAAATCATTCAGAGCACACAAAAGCACCTGTTACTACTTAATAAAAAAACTTGAAAAACAGTGCATGGAAAGAAGGTTGCGAGCATGAATGAAATCTGGCACATTTCCAGACACATCGCAAACAACCAGGCAGCGAGCCCAAACACGCGGGCGCGGTCAGCTAGCGAAAGGTCACTCAACCCGCTCACGTGAGGGAGGCGGTGGGTGACTGGAACCGGTGGTCCTCGGTGCCCTCTGAGCCCAAGGATCAACATGCACAGGAGGTGAGGTGAGGTGAGGTGAGGTGAGGTGAGGTGAGGTGAGGTGAGGTGAGGTGAGGTGAGGTGAGGTGAGGTGAGGTGAGGTGAGGTGAGGCGAGGTGAGGTGAGGTGAGGTGAGGCGAGGTGAGGTGAGGTGAGCCATGCTGCGGCGACGGGGGGGCAACACGGGACCAAATTTGACGTGGCGCAAGCCACAACATAAATGAGCTGAGCTGTACAGCGTTTTACGCGCTTCAGCAAATTTTCAAAGAGGCACAGTAAGTGCATTTTTAATGGTACGGTAAACACAGCTGTCTGCCACCGCCATTAGCGGACCGAACGCTAGCGAATCTCAAAAGCAAAATCAAAAAATCAAGCGCCGTTTCAGCGCCGTTTACTGTCATCAAGCGGCTTCGCAGGTACTTGCTGCCCTCACCCCACGCGCCCTTCAATCAAGCATTTCCCACCACCATCACCACCTTATCACCACACCGCTCGCACCACACCCCGCTCTTCCCAAACTCTTCTCAAAACATGAAACCCACGCGCAGCAAAATGCCGTCCAGGACCTTCAATTCAATTCGCTTTTCAATTCCGTGGCACCCTTTCATCTCCACGACGATGATGATGACGTGCGCAGTACGTGTACACCAACACAAGGTTCAACCTTGTGTGTTGAGGTTTCGGATCTGAGACCGCACACGGCGTCAAACAGCAGCCGGAGGGGTTCTGTGCAGGAATATGCCGCTGGGGAGGACCAGGACCCGCTGATTGCGCTAGCTGGTAGGGCCTAGTGCGGCTGGATGAACAGCCGCTGTTATCTTCTAGCTATTAGGTTGTGGCATCAACACAGAATCAGAATTCCTCGTGCACAGCTGCCATCGTCATTTGCTAGCGTGTGTGCATACCCCCCATAGTCTTCGCCGGGGACCAGGACCAGGGCCGCGCGTACACTCGACACAAATGTGCTTTTTTGCTTTGCTACATTTTTGTAAGGTAGGCATGCACAAAGACAGGTAAGCAGGAGCTTAGCAATGCATGTAAGGTTAATGCAATAGCTGCTTCAGGGCATCTCATCATATGCAAGTACATTCCCACCAACAAGAAGCTCTCGAACCGCACCGCAAAGTTTCGGTTAGAGGGCCCTCTAATGAATATGATTCATGAGGTCATGAGGTCATGGAAAGCCCGGCCCCTGCCCAACACAAAACCAACAGGTCCACCACCCAGCCGGCTAAAGGCACACCCAATCGCCGCCAAAATCCCAGCAGTGTACGACACCTCCGACGTCCGTACACAGCCTGCCGGCACTACTACCAAAATCTAAAAAAGGATTTCATAAAGAAGCTCCTAAACCACCTGCTGCCGCCACTCTATCGATTTTCGTGAGACTCTATAGAAATAAAAAAATAAAGGGGCGTCATTAAAGGGAAACACTACCACCATTACCAATACCACCACCACCACTACCAAACTATCACCACTATCACTACTACTATCACTTCTACTATCACTACCACTACCACTACCATTACCACTACCAACAACAGCTTCTTCTTCCCGGCCGAGAGCGCCCCAGGACGACTCGTCGGGCTCCTGGCCGGCCTGGTCCTGAGCGCGTGCTCTTTGAGGTTGTTTCTGTACTACTTTCTGCCCCTAGTACGAACCCCCCGAGTGCGACTTCGTAACACTGTTAGGTGACCAGCGGACCTAGAGCCCGTTCAGCTGTAACGCTACCCCCGGTAGGTGGGGAACGCTGCTGCTTAGTGCCGGCCGTCGTAACTCCTCGTTACGACCCGGCGGCGGACCCGGCGGCGGAATGCACGAGACTAACCAGCCGTGTGCATCTGGGGGCCCCCGTGCTGTGTTTCGGCCCTTTCGGCCCTGAGCCCCCTGAGGCTTTTGAGCCCACAGTGTAATCAACGTCATACATATA